CAGACTGTCACATCTTTCTCCTGCAGAGCAGCTGATGGGTTCAAACCACTGACCTTTCGGTTGGTAGCCCAGTGCTTTAACAACTGTGCCACCAGGGCTCCTTCAGTATGGAAAAGGCACCATTAAGACAGACAAGGGTTACAACTTCTTATATATAAAGAACACTTTGACATTAATAAGAAAAAGACAAATTACCTGTTAGAAAATTGAGCAAAAGATGTGACTAGGAATTCAGTGAAGGGGAAATGCAAGTGGCTAATAAACATATGAAAAGATGTTCAGTCTTCTGGGGAGTTGGGGAAATGCAAATCAAAATGACACATGCCATTATCGCAGTTAGACTGGCAAGAATTACAAAGACGCGGGACTCAGGAGAGGGTGCCGGGAGAAGGACGAAGGCAGGCACTCCAGCTGTTTGTGAATAGTTTCCACATTTGGCAGTTCCTACTAAAATGAAAGATGCAGACGGGTATGAATCTCAGCCTATAAACTGAGAGCCGTGAGAAAGACCACTTCCGTTTATTTTTAAGAGAACGACTTCATTTCTCCAGGTTGGGGGAAAATGCAGTTTTAACCCTTTTGGAGAGCGGTTCCTCCTCACACTCAGGGTAACATCCAGAGGTGTATTTATCACTCCTTAGACTGTGGTTTCAGGGGCACTAGTTTTACCTGCAAGGAGCCCTGGTGGCACGGTGGTGAAGTGCTCAGCCACAAACCTTCAGTCAGTAGCTGGAACCCACAAGCTGTTCCGCGGAAGAAAGATGTGGCAGTCTGCTTCTTTCAGCCTTGGAAACCTTCTGGGACAGTTCTACTCTGTCCTATAGGGTTGCTAGGAGTCCGAATCGACAAGGGGTGGATCTCACCTGTGGGGGCAGTGGTGGTTCAGTGGTAGAATTCTTACCTTCCATGTGGGAGACCCGGGTTTGATTCCTGGCCGGCGCATCTCGTGCACAACCACCCTCAGTCTGTCAGTGAAGCCCTGTGTGTTGCTGGGATGCCAAACAGGTTTCAGTGGAGCTTCTAGACTAAGACAGACTAGGAAGAAAGGCCTGGAGATCTACTTCCAAAAATCAGCCAGTGAATCACAATGGTCCAATACACAACTGGATCACGGGGATGGTGCAGGGCCAGACAGCGCTTCGCTCCATTGTGCACAGGGTCACCGTGCGTTGAGGCTAGGCCGACGGCAGCTCACAACAACAACCAGTCTCTGGAGTGTGGGGTCTCTCTTCTGCCTTAGAACCTCTGTACAAGTTGTCTCCCCTCCCCGCTCCGTTGAGAAGGTCCCCCACCCCTGCTCACAACATGTCACCTGCTTAATCCCTGCTCATCCTTCTGAACGCAGCTCAAGGGCTTTCTCCTTCTTGATCATCAAACCCTCCGTGATCACATTCCCCCTTCCCGAATGATGGAGGTCAGCTTTATTTGATACTTTGCTGCTGTTATTGTTGTTAGGTTCTGTCGAGTCAGTTCCGACTCATAGCAACCCTAGGTACAACAGAACGAAACACTGCCTGGTCCTGTGCCATCCTCATGGTCGTTGTTATGCTTGAGCCCATTGTTGCAGCCATTGTTGAATGGATAAATAAACAAATGTGCAAAGGAGTTACAGGCTTGCAAGATCACGCATACTCTGGTCTGTGTAGTTGGGTTTGTATTAATAGAATTCAGGAGGGAGCCCCACTTTCTCTAAGTCTTGGAGATGAAGATATTTCATTGCATTCTATTAACTGTAATGAACTTTGTGATGAGAAGCTGGCTCTCAGCTCTTTCCCGGTGATTTGCAGTTGCTTTGTCCCTTTGTGTATCAGGAAGCTCAGGCTCAGATGTGTGGGTGGAAAGGAGTTATGTTTACCTGGCTAGGGGAAAAACAAAACCATGTGCCTGGTTATTCTGGGACGTGATTACCTTTCTAAAGTGGCACTGAGAATTAGAAACATCTAGATGACCATTTTCCTAAGTGAAAACTGAGCAAAATAATCTGTGTTTCAAAGTGCTTGGGTGGTCAGGGTGTCCTGTTCTCCTAGGGCATTTCCATGTTTTGAGATCTTTCTAAACAAGGACTGATGGTTCCAAAGCCATCAGGCAGGAGTGGGTAGAGGCAGGGGTAGGTGTTGGGGTCAGAATGGCCCTTCTCTGCTGTGATGTCTAGGGCTTGTGCTGGTGCACTCATGCATGCATTTGTCACAGAGTCATGGCCACATGTCTAAGACAGGCCCTCGGCTCAGCCTGGAGCCCGTGACTCCCGAGTTCAGTTCTAGGGCCAGGTGA